GGAATACATAATTCAAAAGTCCAAAGTGGTTGGCCTATTTTCCTGAAGAAGAGAATGTAGTAGTAGGTCTGATTCCAGATGAGATAAGACTTTGTTATAACAAACGTAATGTTAATGGGCAGGTTCTGGTTTAAGTGAGTTATTCAGTATCACAAAAAGACTTCTGACAGATAGGAAAAAAAAAAGACAATTATCCAAAATGGTATTCAATTTTCTTAAGGGAAAATCTTACCACTGGCTCTTATTCTGTAGTTTCCTGGCTTGTTCATTATGCAGTCCTCACTCCTAGTGACAATCCTTTGCACTGAATGAAATAATGTTAACAATAGCATTTGACTAAAAAGGAAGTACCTTCTGGCTGAAATTCAACTGCAAACTTGATTCTGAAATTTTCTGAAGTTTTTGAGTATCCGTAAATACTAAATTTGACCTAGTATAAATACTGTTGGACCATAGGTCTAACAGCCCTTTACTTAATGCATTTTCCCCATATCCAGGAAAAAAAGACACGAAAAAAAGAAATCTAACACTTGACCACATGCTTGGCCCTAAATTAGATGATCAGCAGGGTTAAGGTAAGTCCTCAGTAGTGGGTTTCCTTCTGTTGTTGGAAGATAACTTGAGCATGTAGTGACTCGAAAGTGATCATGAGTTGGCAGTCTCATCCCTGGCTAGTATCAACCAAGCCAGCAGTGGGGATAATGATGTTGTATCAGCAGCCCTGGAGAATTCAAGGGCTCAAATGCAAGGTAATTCCCAAGAGGCTTGGGTATAGAGAGTACTTGGCTGATCTGAGGAGATCATATCTGTGCCACTGAACATTTGGGAGCAGTGAGAAGATGGAGTGTGGTTGATGAAGGCAGTGTCTATCAAAAATCCTTGTAGTAAAAATAATTCCATATATATTTTCTCCCGATTACTGTCTTATTCTAGCTAGAACTTTGTTTGAAGGCAAAACAGGCCAAAAATGAAACCAACATCTCCACAGCTCAAGACACGTATTTTCCAGGAAAATGGGCCACTGCTGCTTCAGCAGAGCTGCTCAGCTCCAGATAGCAGCTGCATTTCACATGGGGGCCCTTACTATAGGTGACGCTCCCATTCCTGCCTAGGGATGCTCCAAGCCCACAGAGGCAAGCCTCTGTTTTAGCCTCAGTTTTGTCATTTGAGAGCTGCAGTTTGGGTCATTAGGGGTTGTTCTAGATTTTTGGCAACAGATGCTTTCTGGTCATCATCTCTTTCAGAATATTACTGGGATGTAAGTACTTCTTCTTGTTATTTCTCTCTTTCCAAATGTAATATTCCCAACTGTATATTCATTACAAATACGAGAAACAGAGGGAATGGACCTGAACATACATGAAGATAAATGCACCCTTTCTCATTACTGTTTTGTGATAGATGCTGTGTGAATACCTCAGAAACACTCACAAAGGACTTGATTACAAGTGGAATGGGGAAAGGGCAGCAAAGAAAACATAAAGGCAGATAAGAGAGACATAAAACTAATGAAACAAGCATGTAGATACACTGGGAGCAGAGTATTGATGGCCTTATGCCCCTGTAAGAGCACAGAAGAAAAAGTTATGTCCAGATTTGAAGAGTTTGCCCTCTCTACAGCCTTCAAGTGGGAACAAAATAAGGATTAGGATTGCACAGTGTCTAATGACTGCTTAAAACTCAGTTTCCATGGCTCATGGCACTCAGGTAAATCTGTTTCTGACCTCAAGAGACGAACCCATTATCAACTGATAAGAGTAGGAGAGATGTCATTTTGCTTCAGTCTTGCCCAGCTCCTAGAATTCACTCCCTTGCTGTTGTGCTCCTGCTGTGATGTATAATTTCCACTGCTCTCACGATGCCTCTCCCTGAAGTGTTAAGGATGTCCTTGTCTCCCAGAAGGATTTGAGATTCAGAAATACCTGTCACCTCCAGTATAAACTCCTTTAAGCACATGCCAGCTGGCAAGGTAGTTCCTTAAAGTGGAAAAGAGAAGCGAGAAATGCCTTTAATGTGGCTTTTGAAAAGTTGAAAAGGGTATTTAAGGCAAATATGCGTTTTTGAAAGATATGAAGATTCTGATAGGAGCTCAGCTTTTACTTCATTTTCCCTGTATTATCTTCTTGGTGTTATACAGCAGTGGTATTCCCTGAGAGAACCACTCTGGAACCTAGATGAAAAACAGTGAAAAATTCAACAGTTGGTATCCCACTTTAAAACACTCTCTTCTAGAAAAATACTGTCTTCATCTTTTCTGAAATCACTTTTTCCTAGACACCTGGCATGGTGCTGTAACATGTATGCTAACTCTAGTTTAGAAGGAATTAGGATGGAAATTACTTTTGGTGAGCAAAGTCTCCTGTTGCTGTGCCTGGTAACACTTTGGCTGGAAGCAGTCCCAGTGGATCTTTTCGTCTCTGGTTGCTGTGAAGGCAAGTGAAGTGGTGATTCAGTTTGGACTGTAAGGCTGTGGCATGGTCCTCAGCTTGTTTGGGAAGGAAGAGTTGCTACTGGTATTTTACACTAACATGCCCTGTGGTTTGGGGTGCGTGTGGGTGTTCTTGTTTTGGGGCTGTCTTTGTCAGACATTTATCTTGTCTTTACGCATCTACTCTTCCTATCCAAATACCTTGCTTGTTTGATGTGCAAGAACATGGAAATTGTAAAATTTAGCCATTGTAAAATAGTATTTAAACAGACAAATTCAAGAGTTACACTAGTTCATCCTTATTTTAGCCTGACATAACCCTCAGCATTGGCAATAGCTGGAATGTATCAGCTATTGTTAGTCAAAGGTGTACTTCCTTTCTCAGCTGACACCAGATGATTTTTGGTCTCTAAGACACTACTGTATCAGCAATGTTATCTGACAAAGGTACAGATGTAGGAAAACGTGCTTACTGTTTAAAAGGCTGCTGATATTACTGTTTGGCAGATGGCTACTATAGGTGAATGTTTTCCAGTCATTTTAAGCCCAGTGCACTGAAGCAGAAAAAAAATAAACTAGATGGACTTCATAGCTGTGATTAAGCACAGTGCAAAATCCTTGGAGGAAAAAGTCTCTACAGTCCAGTTTTACAAATTTGGCTCATGCAGAAAACAAGAAGACCAGACTAGTGGAAAAATACATGGTTGCTGATTTTTGTTAAAATTAATTTATACGAGTGGCTTTGTTGAGTGAGCACGTTCACGTGGATGTGCGGTGTATTATTCCAACCCCTTCTGTAACATAACCACGGTGACTGTGTCACATGGTGCTAGTGCAAACAAAGTCTTGCTAACAGCCCATGAATAGAAGCATTTTCCGAGAATACGGTTTCTCATTGGGACTATCGACTGATTCCTGTGCTACCAAGGGATAAGGATAGCTATGGACAGCTTTGGAGGCATATAAGTGCAGCAATCTGAAGCGTGCAGAACAAAAATGAGTGTTTGCTACATAATCAGAAAATGGTACAAGGGATATAGTTAATTCTGTGGCACTTTTAATTGATTCCTGATTGGTAGGTGGTATCTAAAATACGAGAGTGTATCTTGTTAAACATTCTACTTCTATGTATATTCAGTGTCCTTTTTGTTCTCCTCGTGTTTGAATGGCCATCACTGAGCTGACTTCCTCCACATTGCAAGACTCCCTGCATTTTCCCTTCTCCTCTATTAGCATCCTATTTGCATCAGATCCAAAATAAGCACTGTTTTCTTGATGGACTCAGCTCAACTTATCTTTCTGATCTCACAGCCATTTATTTTCTTAGCTATCAAGCTACTCATCCTAGCCTTCATTTTGTTTCTAATTGTCTCAGGTTATGAATTCATCTAATGGCAGCTCTTTTCCCTAGAACAAAAGCACTTTCTAAAAATATCACTGCAAAACTTTTTCTTTTCCTCTTGACATTCTCCGAGAAGTGTTTTTGGATGCATATTAGGAAAAACAGAGTAATATTCTATACACACTTATAGGAAATGATGAAACCACACTTATTTAGACTTTGAAGAACATCTTGATTTTTTAACGACAGTAGAAATGCTGTCAAGGTTTGATGGACGTGAACAGACTTTTTGCGAGAAATTCTGGCTGTTTCTGAGCCTTCCCTGCATAGGAGTGGAGTAAGCGTGGAGGCCGACAGTCCCCTGGGAATAGGGACAGCGCAAGACTTGGTCCAGAGCAGCGCCTCTCTTAGTCGGCACCCCGTAAAGCCCACTTTGGCCTCAGAAGCACATCCTGGCACCCCACCCAGCGCACACCAGGGCTGTTCTCCCACCGCTCCCCGGACGGGCACGGCACCGCATCCCAGCGAGCCGAGCCCGCCCCTGCCGCCGCTGCCGCCACATCCCACTTCCCCCGGCCCGCCTCTCGGCCACTCGCCACGCCCCCGCCGCGCCGCCCGCTCCCATTGGCTGAGCGCAACGAGCGACAGGGCCCCTGGCCAACGGGGCGCGCGCTGGTGCCGCCGTGGCGCCCAATGGGCTGGCGCGCCCCCCACCCCTGCCCGTCGCGGCCGGGCGCTGGGGCTGCGCGGTGCCATTCGGAGGGCGGGCGGCGTGGGGGGCGGATGGTGCTGATATCGGCTCCCGGGCGCTGGCGGGGGCAGGAGCAAGAGCTGGCTGCGAGCGCCTCCCCCCTTCCCCATCCTTCCCGCTCCGGCTGCGTGTCCCCTCGTCGTTCTCTGCCGTCGACCGCCCTGAGCCGGCAGCGCTGTACGATGTGAGCGGTCATTGGGCTCGGCAGCGCCCCCGGTGCTCTCGACGCTGGGGCGGGCAGCGATGGCCAGAGCCTGGCGTGGAAGCAGCAGCCGCCGTCGCCGATAGGAAGCGCCGGGGGCAGCTGGGCAGGCGGCGCGGAGACTCCCCAGGGCCGTGCAGCGCTTGTCCCGCCCCGCCCCCTCCCTCCTTCCCTCCCCTCCTCCTCCTCTCCCCGCGGCCGGTGCATGCGGGGCGCTGGGGGCCGAGCTCGGGTCCCCTGCAGCCACCGGAGCGAGTGACCCGCGGGGGTCTTGCGCATCTCCGCTATGTCCTCGTCCAGCTCCTCGCAAACCCCCCCGTCCCACCACCAGCCCCCGCCGCAGAGGATGAGGCGCGGCGCTGCCGGGTCCCCCACCGCCGGCACGGCCGGGGGCCCCGGTAACGGCGCCGGGGGAGGCTCGGCGGGGACCAGCCGGCTGCTCCAGCCTATCCGAGCGACCGTCCCGTACCAGCTCCTGCGGGGCAACCAGCACAGCCCGACCCGGTCACCATCTGCCTCGGTGGGCAGCAACACGGGGCCGGGGGGCGGCGGGGGTCGCGGCGGAGGCAGCCCCCCACCGCCGCCCAGCGCGACGCCGCCGCTGGCGGCGGGCGGCGGCGGAGCGGAGCCGGGCAGGGTGAAGGGCAGGCAGCGGCGGTCGCCGGAGAGCGGCGGCAGCAGGAGGAGCAGCTCACCTGAGAGACGGAGCCCCAGTTCCCCGGTGTACAGAGGTAAAGCACCGGGAGAAAGCCGGTCTCGCTTTCCTGCCCCGCGGGGGTGCTGGCCGGGCTGGGGCCGCCCAGGCTCCGGGCACCCTGAGTCCTGCTTTCCGCTCCCGGGCTGCGCCCTGCCTTCCTCCCGGGCCAGCCAGGGTGGGACACAGGGGAACTCCCGGCACGACGGGAGGAGCCCCACCGCAGCCTTCGGGAGCGGGTCGGGGGTGAGGGCGAGCCTTAAATCCCCTGCCCCCGGGGCAGGTGTCGTGCTCGGGTTTGCTTTGCCAGGAAAGGGGGAAAAGCGCTTCGTCCCGCCGCCCTTCCCCGCGATGGGGGAGGCGACGCCTGAAATGTCATCCTCCCTCTCGGGCAAGGTGAGAATCCTGCCTAGGAAACCCCCCCCGCCCCGCGCCGGCCTTGGGAGGAGCGGCGCGGGGGCGAGCCCAGGGCCCGCCGGCGGCTCTCCTCACCCGGGGAGAAGCGGTCGGGGGCTCGACGGCGGTGCTGTTGCCGCTACTACCCTTGGCCTCGGGCTCTGGCAGCGGAGCTGTGTAAGAGGGAAACGAGCCTAAAATTAACCCTCTTCCCTGTCTCCAGTTGTAACTGTCTAGTAGGGGTGATAATGAGTTAGATTTGTATCTGGGGTGTCACAACCCAGTTATGAAGTGTGTGTTAAAAGCAAGCCTCCAATGCTCTTCCTTTCTGCAGAGCTCGGTTTCTTAAAAGACTTGGGTTTTTCTAAGATAGTAGGTTAAAAGATGTGATGTTTCCAAGCACAGGCTCCAAAACAAGGAAATTCCCATATTGAAGTGCTTAAAAACAAGTCTGTCTCCTTGTGATGTTTAGTACTGAATCCTTGGGACTCTAAAAAACTCAACCAAACAAACCAACCCCCGTGTAGCCAAAATAGGCCTGTAAAGTTTAAAATCTAAAATTGATTCCCTGCAAGTTCAGCTTAACCTGCGTCAGGTTGTCTGTTAAATTATTGAATGTGTTAAAGTGGCAGTGGCCATCTTACCTCCCCACTCCCTTCTGCCTTCCCCCATCACTTGAGCAGTTGAATGAATTGGACTAAATGCACTTTTTATGTTGTCCTGCTGTAGCTATCAGGTATCGCACATCATCTCTTTCTGGGAATGCTTTCTGTGGTTCGATACCACTTGCTTTTTCTGTCCCTTCCAAAAGTCTTAACTGTGTGTGATTTCTGTGGCAAATTATGGTCTGTGTTGGGTACCAGTGTGTGTTGTAGCAGTGGAATCTTACCTTCTTTCCTCTTCAGTTTTTATGTGTAGTAAACCCTTGCTGTCTGTAGTATTTGCAACTTGGGCAGATCTGTCATCAGAATTGTCCTAGGTCAGGGCAGCATTTTACAAATGAGCAAAATGTCACTGCCAATTACAAATTGAGTTAATTTGCCCTATGCATCTGCTTATGCAGATGACCTAATTGATTGTGTTATAATCTGACCAGAGATACTTTGTAATGTGTTTTTCAAAAAGAGTCTATTTCTGCAGAGGGTTTTGCATGCTTGAAAATGGAACCGAGCTTCTGTGGTTTTGATTCATTCAAGCTCTATTTAAAATTTTAAAGATCATATTTTTCTGACTGTATGGAGCACTAAATGTCAATTTCCCTTTTGCCTCTTAAACCTTTGGAAAATGCTAATGGGAAACTAGGAAAAAAACAAAATATCCGTGTGTATGAGTAGTGATAGTGCTGACGATGAGCAGTAAATTATTTAATTATGGGAACCCGGAGGAAAACATTGTAGTGGTGCAGTGTATAAAGCCTACGCTTAAGGTGTATTGAAGAGGGAGGAATATGGGCAGTTACCTGCAAGCTAGAAAAATACTGCAAAGCTGTGAAGTACTTCATTAACGTGTATGATTTTTTTGTTGGAGGGGAAATTTTAATTTTAGAAAGTGGTTTCAGTCTTCTTCATCTGTGGGCTATTTTAGCCTTAATAAATCAGACTATAAATTAGTACTGAATGACTTTTCTGTCATTAAACTTGTTTGAGCTTGCCTCCTGGTGAACTGCGTCATAGAGCTTGATTTGGTTTAATGAGTGCAGTGTATAAAATCATAAATGGTCCGTCGAGAAATGCACCCTGTAATCTGTATGCACTGCAAAGAATTCGTTCCCCCTCCTCCAGGTCAAGCCAGCTGCTGCTGCAGAAGCTGACATCCTTTAGCAAATCCTGAATGAATGAATGAAAACAACGTGATCGCCCTAATAATGACCACAATTGCACACGTCAACAGCTTTATTTTACTGAAATACAGGCACCATTTTCTAGCGGGTGAGAGTAATAAGATACTCTATTTCTTCAGTCTTGCAAATGAAAAAAGGTTACCAAACCTCCCCTTCGTCTGCCCCTCCACCCCCCCAAAACTAGAGGTGTTTTTACACAATTTGGAATATAGTTCCGTGCCATGGGGCAGTATTTTGTCTTTGTTTCTCTGCTTGTTCTCAGCATTTTAGTAAATGACGTGTAGACACTAAAAACATGTTTGTAGCATGTATGGTGGTAATAGTTTATAGAAAATTGATTGCTGAGCTGGAGGACTACTGCAGTAATAATGGAGGACTTGAAAAAAAATTTTAAATGTTCCATTTTCAGACACAGACCATTTTTCTGTGGCTTGTTAAACAATGCTACTCCAGCTATTTATAGCTGTTATCAGTATGCAAGTCTTGGGGAAGTGGCTTGATTAAGTTTTTTTGTCAGTTTTTCAAAGCCATTTCCCACTGCTGTAAAATGTGAGCTTAGGCTCTAGGTTTAATCCTGTTGTTTTTCTCACCAGTGCAGGAGATGTGTTTGTCTTTGGCTCTGCAGTCTGACTTGGATTGTTTCACAAATATGCTTGTTCTGGAAACTGCTTATGATTCTGATGGATAGATGTTATTCTCTTAAGACACCTGTCCCTTCCCCACCTCCTTTCAGCCTTTTTCAGTATAGAGGCCTTGAACTGGCTATTCTACTAAGCCATTTTGTGTGGATATTTTAGTGATTTGCTAGAGGTTCCTTTATGAAGGAGATTTCTGTGCAAACACTTCAGCTTTGAGCCTCTACAGGTCAGAGCAGCTACCACTGCAGGCGCTGACATCACTACTACATGAATGAAAGCAGCGTGGTCTGTTTTTTCTCCCATAATGATGTTTTCTACCCCTTCTTTGTAGTATACTGTAAAGGTTTTTGTTCTGTAGCAACACCCTGTGTTTTTGTGACTGAAACTTTCAATAATATGATATTTTCTTTAAAGTAAATTTGAGGACTTGTAGTTGTTAGGAAGCCATCAATGCCAGTAGCAGTATTTGGTTAGTACTGTTGCTGAATGGGTGAGAAATCATGAATGTTACATATATATTTTTAAGGTGCTAAAAAGAGGGGAAAAACCTGATAACATAGGGTAAATCTGCGATGTGCAAGTCTACGCCTTTCTTCTTTCTTGAAATGTGTTTATTCCTTACTCGCAGATATTTTTTATAGTGTGTGTTCATGTTTTGGAGAGCTGGCAGTGGAAAAAGTGTCTGGTTGAATGTAACAACACGTGGTTTTCTTAGAGGGGATATATCTGTTAGATCTCTGAGTGCATAAAAGTAATGTCAACAGAATCTGAAGCTGTGTGGTTTATGACAAAGGATATTCTGGTAATAATCCAAAAAAGCCAAACCCTTGGACATGTAAAATAAAACTTGCTATTTGCCTGTGGACACATCTTTTAAAGAAAAAAGCAACTTGTTTTCCTCCTTGTCTTACCTGGATAAAATATGCAGTGTCTGTTGTTATGTAAAGTAGCTTGTATAAATATAAGAGTGGGTTTCCTGTTTAGTTTCTTTTTTTTTTTCATGATACATTAATATTTTGTATACAAGGAGGGTGTGAATTACTTCTATGATTCAAGCTCAACACTGCTCTCAACAAATGCTTTGATTTTAGTTTTAACTCTAGTAGTACTGTAATATTATGCCTCATATTTTTCTAACTTTCACTTACACATTTATAGAACAAGCTTTTTGCCATTCCATTTCCAAATGTTAAAGACAAACATTAGTTTTAAGGACATATGAAAAATAGTGTGATCAATTTGGCTGTTAAAGGTTCCCAGTTCTTTTACTTCCCAAAATAACTCCTGAAGATTTGCCAACATGAGTAAGAGAAAGGAATTACAAAAGATGCAAAACAACTGTATAACCCAGTCCAATGTAAGAAGTATATATATCTGGTTTTTGGCTAGTGGAATTAGGAGTGGAGTAAAACAAACAATATTGTTGATCTCTAGACTTGTAAGGGATGTCAATACTAAAAAAAAAACACCCAAAATTTGTACTTCAAAAGGTAGAACTAGTTTAATATCCTAGATTCAAACCATCCAATATTTTGGCATCATAAGCATTTATATCACAGATCAAGAAGATCTTGCCTTTATTTCTAGCAAATGTAGGTAAGGAAGTAATTTTTGTGACGCTTCCTATTTCCTGATCCCTGAATAATGCAGTATTCCCATAACTGTATGGTCAAAACAGTTTTGCTCCAGCTTTCTCCCTGTCGCTTCCCAAAATAGCTTTCATTGGAATATAATATGATGACATAAAAGACCCTGGCTAAATTTGATCCAGTTCTCCTGAACTCAAAGCCTTTTTAGTGACATGTTTTAACATGACTGTAAATAAGAATGGTGTATTAAATGTCTTTAATAAATAATGCTTTTTAAAACAAATTAATTGAGCTTCTTTCAGGTGTTAAACTGCAGCAAGAAAAAATAGGAGGGTATTTTCTGTGTTGAATAGTGCTGTAGCAAGGCATTAGCTTTGAAGACAAAACCTCCCTGTTTCATGGAAAAAACCCTAAAAAAGTGTATGATTATACCTATTTTAAATCACTACTTGATCTTTAATTCTTATTCTTTGGTCATAAGCAAGTATTTTTGTGTTACATTATGGCCAAACTGAAGTTACTTGCCAACATCTGTGCATAGTAAAACAGTGGCAGATACTGAAATTTGGTTTCT